TGTCGTTTCTAATACAGGAACTGGCAAGAATAAAGAGAAAAAATGTGAATATCATCTAATTATTATTATAGGTTAATTGGCTTCTCTAATTGTGAGTGTGTGCGTCAATGGTTGTTTGTCTCTGTGTTGCCCAGTGATAGACTGGCGACCTGTCCAGGGTGTACCCCGCCTCTCTCCCATAGTGGAGTGAGGAGTCAAAAACAATTACATATATTCCGTAAAAGTTTAAAAAATCCACTGGACTTGGTTTCCAAGATTTGAACACGTTTCGCTACCTCTCCAGGAAGCTTTCTCAATTCAAATGTCTGGATCCGCAGTGAGTTTGAGTCTTTATATAGACAAGGCCTTGTATTGCTTGGAAACATGCAAGCTAACAATTGTTAGCCTGTTTTTTTATGGAATGGCTATGACCTGGATGACTGAGAATCTTCATCAGCACAATTACATATACTTTGTAAATGATGGAAATGGGTATTTTAAAACAAATAAACAGAGGTTATGAAGCGGAGTGAGGATGGGAGGTTGTTCCAGTCAAAGTGTGCTTTTTATATTTTACACAGAATTTTCCTTGTTGAATCATGAAACCAAAAAAAATTTAAATAGAATGCCAAGACTATATGTTGAGGAAAACTTAATAAAGATTTTTTTTTTATATTCAGGGCAACTAAGACTGTTACACTTAAGCATGAATAACAACCTGTGAAATTGTCATCTGGAAGATGGAGTGAACCAAGACAGCTGCTGGTACAGCAGACAATGGTCAGGTCTGACAGGACAATGGAGAATAAACCCACACAGACAGTTATATACAGCATGAAGTGGTTGGAGATTAGAAGACATAGTATTTTTTTTATTTATCAGATTCATAAGTGTTTATCAGTTTGATGAATAATCAAGAAGAGGTAATAATTATTTTCCTTACTGAGAGAAAGCGAAACAAATAACTGAATGATAAATTAGTTTCAAATGATACGTCATTTTAATCATAACAGAATGAGTATAAGAGGTAAAAGTAGCGAGGAGTCACGCCAAAGACCAAAATATTTAAACTGCTCAACTGGTAACAATTAAGTTTCAGTACCATGGACAGTGCTGTGCTTGGTAATACTGTAAAACGAGGCACATAAACCACCATGGTTAATTCACTTGCAGCTGAAACTGTGTGTGTGCTTCTATGTTTGCATCATGGGACATTTTTTGGATTTCACTATCATGTTGAGGGCCGCTCGTACAAAAGTTAGGACATCTTGTCAGTCCTTCTTTCCTTCTTTGCTTACTTTTAGATTTAGGAGAGAGGTGTGAATTGAGCTTAGCCTATAGTTAGGACTAGGAAGGAACGGTACTGGTTAGGTTCAGGGTTACTGTCGACACATGGTCTCACTTCATACATGTGAGTAGGATATAACATGTATGTGTGTTTGCGGGTGGATACTAACCAACCTGCAGGCAGATGTTGACAGAGTGGCTGTCACTTTGACCTGAAGGCTTTTATGTGGTCAAACAGCTGAGTGATGATCTGTTCCTTCCCTTGAAGCTAAGTACTCAGGATGTTGAACAGGTCAGTAATGTCCACCATAAAGTCCCGAAAGATATCCATTAGTCATCTGAACAGACTTGACTGTCACTGTTCTTGTTTGGTAGAAGCTACATGATGACGAGGAACACCTTATCTTGGATGTAAAGCACATATTTATATTCTCTACCAACCTCCTCCAGAAGGGCCCTGCACCATCAGTATGAGAGCACAATTTTATAATTGCAATCACGTCTAACACCACATCCTTAAAACCAGTTCATTTGGCAGCACAGTTCTTTTGCTGAAGAATGCGGTTGTATTTTGCCACCTTACTGCCGCATTGGGCAACCTTGTAAGCAACTACTGCTTTCCTTCCTGCCATGCCAGGTGCTCTGTACATTTTATCCCACTTATTGCCACAAACATATGCTCACTTTTGTTGTTGTGTAACAAGTCTGGCCAGTCCCTGCATACTTTCTATATTTTCACCTAATCCCTAAATGGAAGTCAACGTTTGTGAGGAATCTGTGACGTCTTTACTTTTATCACATGCCAAAAGAATAAGATACAAATACATGAACTTGAGCTATTGCTCTTTGAGATCGTCAGGACATTTAATCTATATCATTTATAAAATTGTAAACTCTTTCCACAGCAGCCTTTTACAGATGGATACTGTGTTGAATTCAAAATGGACTACATGTATCAATCTGGCTTATGTCAGGTTAGAGAACCGTTTCAGAGTTGGGTGTTTTTCTTGTCTTTCTGTGCCTACTCAAACGGCATTGACTCTGCAACCTCTAAAAAATGAACGCTCTCTTTTGGAGTGAAAAACCGCGAGCCTGATGTAATTGAAGTCTCTACACATTTACGAGATAAATATTTAGTTGCTTGTCTTCTGCTGAAAGCTTCCAGCATCCAGATGCACTTTAAAACACTTTTCAGCACAATTTGCTTTGCTGACATGGCTGCAGTACAGGGCTGCCAAAGTTTAAGTACACAACGTTCCAGTAAAACAAGACAATATTCTAAAAAAGAATAAACCTACAGCCTGATGAGCTGACATCAACCCGCTTAAAATACCTGCCTGCTGTCAACTGAAGCCACTTTTCTCTGCAGCTTTATTAATTGGTGTTGCTGTAAACTTTAATCTTAAAATCAGTCATAATCTTTAACACAACTATAAATAAAGGCCAGTCTTAAAAATACAAACATAGAACACCAAAGAGGTTTATTTTGATCTACAGGTTAAATTTTCTGCAGATAATTTTAGCCTAATCTGAGTTTGCTTATTGTAACACATGGAAGCTTTAAATCCTTTCACAGACATTGCCTGAGCTCACTAAGCTTTATGCCTCCATACAGCTACAGCCAGTAAGCCTCAGAATGGTAAATAACCGTGTCCGATGTCAAAAGTTTAAGTGTGGGAAGTGGCCGACAACACGACTGGACCTGGAGGAGCTTTCTGACGACATCTCCACCCACAAAGAGTCCGAGTAATCCCCAATCAAGCAAATCCACCATGATGGTGCAGATGGAGCTGGAATCCCAGCAGGATGGAAAAGGGACAATGTGTCGACTCCCTTCTGAGTCATTTCCTTTTTTAATGCTTTAATGTGCAAACGGGGAAACAAACTTAGTAAATAACATACTTGCTTATTTGGAAGCATTTTTGTTTTTCTGTTAACAAAAAAAAAGAAGTGTCCTCCACATGTCGCTGATTAAGTCACAGAGGAAACATGGAGGCATGCAGCTGTTACCTCCTGTGGAGACGAAAAGATTTCACACCAGAGCCAACACATGAGGTCACTTTCATGAGAGCTCTGACCTGCCATCAACAGAAGGAAAAACTGGCTGCTGCGTTTTTCGTTAGGCAGGAGAAAGGCACGTGAATAACAGAGCACATGCACAATGTTTGCACTCAAGGTTAGCAGGAGCAAAAATAGTCATGACAAAAATCTGTATGGGCAAAAGAATGAATAAAAAAAATTCCTTTATGAAGTTCAGTTTATGAGAACAAAAACTAAATTTGTGTTTCTCACAGATTACTGGGCAGTTTCTTTAAAATAAAGCTGAAATTAAATCTTTAATGACATTCCTGTCTGTTCCAGGGGACAAATGTTGATGATGCCAAGATAATTTGCAGGTTCTGTTAGTTCTGGTTTCAGCTGATTACTTTCCAGCTCTATCACACACAAACAAGAGATCAAATAAAAACGAGTGAGCAACACGACCAAATAAATGAAAATAACTGCCTTTCCCACCACAGACAAACATAAAATATATATATATATATATCACTGCGATTGAGATCAGAGTCCAAAAGACAGTCCAACAAGCTCCAAAAGGAGTCAAAGGTCAACAGCTCTGAGAATATTAATCACTGACAACCTCAGACAGATGGATGGTAGGGTCAGATGCAATCCCACAGATGATCAGGTGCAGATTGGATTCAACACAGAGACCTTCACTACTGGACCTTCATCCTTCAGGATTATGCTCCATTATTCATTTACAAAATAAATAATTAATGACTTTTAAAGCAAATAAAACAATGTGAAAAAAAAAGCTCTATAGGATTTCTTGTAACATCAACAACTGTTTCAGATCCTTGCTAAATAATTCATTCATCAACTAAACTTCAGTGCATGTCATTATGATTATATGGGATGGACCGACGCAGCTCATCACTGAGAGGTAGAGGGTTTATGCTTTTGAATGGGAATCTAGGAAACATTACCTAAAAAACTGACCTGGCAAATGATTAAAAGATTGTTAGTGTCAGCGTCATCAAAAACAAACATGTTCCTTTGCAGCAAAACAAATTTGTGTCAATTATAAAACAAAAGCTCATCATATCATGTTTTGCAATCATTTTAGTTTCAGCCTTTACAGTATTTAAGTTGAAAATATTTGCTTGGATCCAATATATTTATATGTCAAGCTGCCAGCATTTAAACTGTAGCTGCTGCTGATACATCTGACAGGCCTTTACAGAAACTAATGTGATGCTGAAGCTAAAGTGGAGAGGTGAAGCCTGGAAAGATGATGCAGTGTACAGTTTCTATGGCGATATAACCAACATCAACATCCTACTTTCATGCTTTCCTATAATACGCATCCTTTCCTCATATCCAACCTTTTTTCTGACTCCTAAACCCCTAAATATTTTAATCAGAGATGATGCAACTGTTCAAATCATCAGACTTCAGGAATAAACTCAGACTGGTTAGTTGGTTTAAAGTGGCTCAGAAGTTTTACAGAATCCACGCGAGACCTCTTCAAGGATGCACAGCTTCACTTCTCCCCAGCAAATGAGAGAAATTTCAGCAAACACCTGCGAGCTGTGCAGTTGCGTAGGCAACAATTCATTTTCCAGCAGCAGTATTGGGTTACAGCCTAACTGGATTCCAGCAGCGCCCCGGGAGGCCTCGCTGCTGCTGCTGCTGCGCACATGTTGCAGGAACCTGCAGCTGGTACTCACACGAACGCGTGGTAGAGCAGCGCCCATCCTCTCGGCCTCTCCAGCGTATCGTAGATCAGGTTCTGGATCTTCCTCTTGCGGATGTTATTCCTCTTCACGGGCCGGGTGTAGTTCAGGGGGGTTTTGGCCAGCAGCCCGATGGTGATGCCCTGAGTGCCCCGCTTGAAGTCCTCCCGGCCCATAAGCAGCAGGGCCCCATCCTTGTCCACTCCTCCAGCGCCGCTTTGGTCCAGTAAGTCTCCAGAAGGAGGAGCGCCGGAGGTCTTCTTCTGCTCCTCAGAGCCGCTAGCGACGGTCCTGGACCGGAGCCCCATGGTCAGTGCTGGAGGGCCGGTGTGGGCAGCATGCCATGATCCGGACCACACACCCTGTGTTTAGCCGCGGGTCATTCCGGGATGAGGTCTCCAAGGAGCGGGGAGGTCCTCAGCGTTGAGCCTGGAAGAGAGAAGGATGGAGGAGCGATGAGGAAAAGGAGGGATGATAGAGAACAAACAGCGATTTCAGAAAGCATCGGAATCTGCAGCCAGCAGCAATCAGATCCGAGCTGTGCGTAAAACACGCCCTGGTTGTCGTAAAAGCTGCGATAAACTCCAAGAACTCAATACGCCTATCAATCACAGCTGTTTACTTAAACATCTGATATGAAGCTCATCTGAACCCTGGAAAGAAATCAAAATAAACCCTCCAGTTTCCATCCAGCCTTCTCCACCCATCCCTTCCCACAGCACACAAAGCAACACGAACAGAGAAATCACCGAACCCCACCAGCTGCCGAGTCCGTCCATGGTGCGCGTCTCCCGGGCTGCCAGCCTCCATCCACCTGCAGAGGAACCGAGGAGGAGGGGAGATCGGAGGATGCAGAGCGGAGATGCTGCCTGAAGGAGCTCGATAGTGAAACTGATGAAGATGAGGTGGCGGAGACCAGCCTTCATCAGCACCGGCTCCGACGTGACGTGCGTGCGCTCGCAACCCGCGCACACCTTGATAGCTGCGGGAACAAGAGAGAGAGAGAACAAAAAACGGTGCGTCAGCGAAGACAGATGTATGGAGGCGCGCTCACCAAGGCTTAAAAGGCACGTTCACGTGAGTGCGCGCTCTGATGTAAACATCTGTAGCAGCGCTGCGCCTTTTTGTTTATTTAATGAGAAAAAAAGGCCGTTAAATCTGTGACCCTCAGAACTCTCAGACACATCATCATCATCCAACATCTCCATTGCTGCAGAAAACAAGCAGACTGTAATAGTTAAATCTAATGAAAGTGTAACTCATTTCAAATGTGCCTCCCCACTGAGAGGAAATAAAACTATCAGAGTGTAAAAGCTCCAATCTGTTTTGTGGATGTAATTAGGCCCCTTTCTTTAGCGGGGTAAGCATTATGCCATGAGGTTTCAACAGTTTTCTGCCATAGTGTCCTTCTATTTTATGTTAAATTTGCTTTTTTTTGTCATTTTCATGCCTGACAGTGGTCAGTCTGCAAGATCACAAAACAAGCTTTAATTGATAAATGAATTATTATTTTAATGTTAACCAGTCCATCTATTAACGTGTATCATTAAAGCTTCCTTTTTCTGATTGCGTTATGACTGTAGTGACTGCTTGTCAGAAAAGAGGTTGTGATCAGATAGCAGGCACAGGAAGGAAGGAAGGAACGAACGAACGAACAAAGGAACGAACGAACAAACAAAGGAACGCACAACTAAGGAATAAAGGAACGAACTAAGGAATGAACAAACTAAGGAAGGAACGAACAAATGAACGAAGGGACGAACTAAGGAATGAACAAACTGAGAAAAGAGGGAATGAACAAAGGAAGGAACGAACTAAGGAACAAAGGAACGAACGAACTAAGGAATGAACAAAGAATGAAGGGATCAACTAAGGAACGAACTAAGGAATGAACAAACTAAGGTAGGAAGGAACGAACGAATGAAGGAACAAAGGAACGAAGGGACAAACTAAGGAACGTAGTCAGGAACGAACAAACTAAGGAACGAACAAACGAACGAAGGGACAAATTAAACAACAAACTAAGGAAGGAACAAACAAAGGAACGAACAAACTGAGGAAAGAGGGAATGAACAAAGGAAGGAACGAACAAAGGAACGAACGAACTAAGGAATGAACAAAGAATGAAGGGATCAACTAAGGAACGAACTAAGGAATGAACAAACTAAGGAAGGAAGGAACGAACGAAGGAACGAATGAAGGAACGAAGGGACAGACTAAGGAACGTAGTCAGGAACGAACAAACGAATGAAGGGACAAATTAAACAACAAACTAAGGAACGAACGAACAAAGGAACGAACAAACCAACGAAGGGACGAACTAAGGAACAAACTAAGGAATGAAAAAACCAAGGAAGGAATGAACAAACGAAGGAAGGAACAAACTAAGGAAGGAAGCAACAAAGAAGGAACGAACAAAGGAACGAACTAAGGAAAGAACGAACGAAGAAACGAACTAAGGAAAGAACGAACGAAGGAACGAACTAAGGAACAAAGGAACGAACAAAGGAATGAACGAGCTAAGGAGTAAACAAACTAAGAAGCAAGGAACAAACGAATGAATGAACAAAGGAATGAACGAACTAAGGAAGGAAGGAACAAAGAAGAAACGAACAAAGGAACAAACTAAGGAAAGAACGAATGAAGGAACGAACTAAGGAACAAAGGAACGAACAAAGGAATGGACGAGCTAAGGAGTAAACAAACTAAGGAAGCAAGGAACGAACTAATGAATGAACAAAGGAATGAACGAACTAAGGGAAGGAAGGAACGAACAAATGAATGAAGGAATGACCAAACTAAGGAGTAAACCAACGAATGAATGAATGAGCAAACACATAATCTGGCAACAGTAATTGGTATGAGGGCTGGTTAAATAGGCTGGAGAGCAGGTGGTAAGCTGGAGCACTGATTGGAAAGCGAGGAGCTGCACAGGTGGGAAGAATGATTGATAATGGTGGCAGGAGCAGACCAGTTACTTTGTCAGAAGAATGACAATCTCTCATATAGTCTGCTAATCATCGCTCCTGCTCTGCATCTTCCACTTCTTCTTTTCTGCAAAGGCAGCTCACGGGCAGCTTAAAGTTGCATACCGCAAACAGTAGTACATGAGCACTAAACATTCACAACTTACACCCATTAAAACCTGTTATGCATAGTTTCCAGGTGTTTTCTTCCTATAGTTTGATATCTGCCATTTTGAATTATTATTTAGGAATTTAAAAAAAAATCAATGTAATGGTATTCTGTTGTTTAATATGCAAATACATCCATATATTCATTAGGCAGATTTTAAATGAGGATTTAGAAAACTAAATTAGATACAATGAAAAAGCTGAATCAGGTCTCTGTCTTTCAGGAAAAAAGTTATCTTCATCAGTGCAGTAATAGGATTTACCCAGAAGAACAGAACAGAGAAATCTTAAAATAGATTGATTTGTCGTTTGGTTGGCCTTTAGTATTTCTACTTAAACGCTGCCGGTCGGTGGATTTGACTAATTATCTGGATGAAAAACGGCTGAACAGTTCTGTAATTGAAAAAGCAATAATTTGACTCTGGCTGTCTGCAGATCCTGCTGCACAGGACGATCTGGTGAGTCACGACTGCTCCGAATCACCTCCCAGGGACAGATGGGATTCAGAGTCCGAGCTGCTTCTTATAGCTTCTCATAGAAATCAATCCTCCTGCTGGTGCTTTCTTTTTTTAGCATTTACTGCAGCAGATTCTGCTCTCTTCATACTTGTTAATCATGTCCTTGAAGTTATGTCTTGTTGTTCTCTTTGAACTCTAGAATGCTAATTTAAACATAATCGGATAACAAAAGCTTTTCATAGCTGTGGTTAAGTCAATGCTGCATTGCAATCACAAATTGATAATTAATGACATTCTGATCAATACTTGAATCAATGGATGCATTTGATTTATTGTGTGCAATTTTCCACACTGGCTGAGTTATGCAGAGATAAACTAGAGACCTTCAGCCTGTGAAGTAAACAGGAACAGAGTCAGGGCAGTGTTTTCTTAGGATAGAGTTATAATTTTATTGAATATAGAAAAAAATAAAAATTTTCTGTCCTTACAATATAGTAAGAGACTTTAGGAATTAAATTATTTTGTGCATTTCAGTGCTATAATACAATAGATTCTGAGGGATTCTTTCCCACAGTGTAAAAAGGAAAGGCTGTTTCTGTTTTTTCTGTCCAAGACAGTTGGTATAGATTGTATTAATAGCAAATGAAAATGTATTTGTTTGTGCTCGCACACCCAGTAAACAAGAAGCTATATGGTTATATTTATATACTGTCAAAGAGACAACCTGGATCTGTCCCAATGTTTTATGTGTTTGAACCTCAAAATTGGTTTTAAATCTTAACAGAGTTTTCTGTAAAACTAAAGATCAAGTAACTATGATGTCATTGGTTTTAAGGTCGGCTGTAACTATATCTAATTTAAGGGATAACTGCTAAACAGAGTTCAAGCTAAAGTAGTGACCCTTCTGCTAAGCTAAGGATGCATTTCAGTTCCATTTTTTTTAGTCCTCAAAACAAATTAAAAAACATGTCTCAGCAGTAGATTGCAGGCCATCTTTAATTATGGACAATGACCAAAAAGGTTAAGGCAGAAGTAAACCTTATTAAATCCTATACCTTTTCCATTTGTTGGAACAGAATAATCTCTTTAAACTTGCTTATAGCAACCAAACACATAAGACAGGGAGAGAAAAAAAAGCATATGAGCAAAGCTATAGCTGTTTTCTTAGTTTGTTTTCCCTGGTTATCTTAATTGCTTGTTTTCAGAAGGTAGCGGGTTATTGTTGTCTTTCAATGTAGACATTATCCAGTATTCCCTAAAATAAAGCTATGAAATCATTTAGCGAGAGGCCATTTTCCTAAGCTGTAAAAAGTTATAATATTTCTAAACTTGTTTCATATTTTCTGGGTGGAAGTGGTTTTATATAACAAAGTTGAATCAGAGAATTAGAAATTATCTGGGCAGTGTTTTGTTTTGTTTTTTATTGTAGTAAATGTTCCGCCTCATATTACAATGATCCATGGGTTAGCAAAGGGCCCCCGGCCCAATCAGGTGATTTACTTACCTCTGGCTCCTTAAGACCTGATTTAAAGACAGTGACAAGGCTCAGAAAGGGCTGAAAAGATTAATTGGATCAATCATGATTAATTGATTATTAGGATATTTTTAAACTATAAATTGTATCAAATCATTAACTGGAGAATATAGACTCTAAGACATGTCATTTGCATCAAGAATAACCTACTTAGAGAAGGAATTAAGCCAAAACTGCACAAA